CCACCGCCGAAACCAGAGCTCTCACGTGCTATGTTCTCCAAGAAGCTGGGGAGTTCTTGGTTTGCCTCTTTGAGAAGCTCAATGAGATCACGGACAATGCCTCGGTTGCCGCGATTGAAGAAAGCAGTCGACAGACCGGTGTTGCCAGCACGACCGGTACGACCAATTCGATGAACATAGTCGTCAATGTCAGTCGGCAGGTCGTAGTTGATGACATGCATAACATTCGGAATATCAAGTCCACCTAGAATAATGAAGGATTATGGTCAGTAAATGCTTCAGGGGAATGTGACTTCAAAGTCAATATTGTGAGAGCTGGGTAGCACTTACGAGCAGCAACAGCTGTAGCAACCATGATTGGGCATCTGCCATTTCGGAAGAACTCGAGGGCCCTCTCACGCTCACGCTGCGTACGATCGCCGTGGATTGCGGTAGCTGGAAAGCCTTGGTTGATCAAGAAGTCGGACAAAGTATCGGCCATTCGTTTAGTCTCAACGAAGATCAAAGTAAGACCATTTCGGTGAGTGTGGAGGATGTCGAGCAAGACGGAACGCTTGTCGTTGTCTTCGACGTATTCAACCTTCTGGGTGATGTTCTCGGATGTCGAGCCCACTCGACCAACTGACAGGAAGACGTAGTCTTTGAGGAAGTCTCTGGCCAACATTTGAATGTCGCGGGGGAAAGTGGCAGAAAACATGAGAGTCTGGCGGTTTTGGACCGAAGGCATATCCTCACCCTCCACAATGCGACGAATTTGGGGCTCGAAACCCATGTCAAGCATACGATCAGCCTCATCGAGAACCAAGTACTTGATGTTTGCCAGGGAGATGCGACCTCGCTCTATGAGGTCGACGAGACGGCCTGGGGTAGCAACAAGCAAGTCACAACCTCGTTCAATAGAGCGAAGTTGGGTTCCAATGTCGGCACCACCATAAACCACGCAGGGTCTGACCCAGGAACGGTAAGAGAATTTTCGTGCTTCATCGTAGATCTGCGAGACTAGTTCGCGGGTGGGAGCCAAGATCAGAGACGTCGGGAAAGCCTTTCGTTGGCGGAAGCCACCACCACTGGCAGGTGTGGCGGAGGGGCCGTTCTGGAACGCCTGTGACAGGATAGGGAATAAGAAACCACCAGTCTTGCCAGAACCAGTCTGGGCACAAGCCATCAGGTCTCGCCCACCCATCACAATGGGGATTGAGTACTTCTGTACAGGCGTTGGGGTAGTGTATCGTGCGAGCTTGATGTTGCCCAAAAGGTGGTCATCAAGAGGAGGGTTGGTGAAGGCATTGACCGGTTCCGGGACATCGTGGCCACTAGCCTCAACGGGGATGTCGTCATAGTTGGCAAAGTTGATTCCGGTGTGAGCCTTTGTCGGGTCGTTGGGAGTGCCAAACAGTTCACGTTCAATTTTTGGGTTGGGGGGCCCAGCAATGTGTTGACCATCTCTCCATTGACCGTCTCCTGAACCGCGAGCAGCGTTGCCACCATAGTTTCCGCCATATCCACTGTGACCACCACCGCTATGACCGCCACCAGGAGCACCATAGGCGTTCGGGTTGAAGGGACGAGGAGCATGACCGGCACCCCAGCCATTTGGTTGAGGAGCGGGGGCACCACCAGGACCAGGTTTGAAGTCGGGAGCAGCCGCCCAGCTGCCATTGCTTTGACTAGGGCTTGTAAGTGAACCTGATATGTTTGGAGAGTTTTGATTGACATACGTGTTGGTAGCCCAGGCACTTCCATTCAATCCTTGAGTTTCGCCATTAGGCGCAGGTGTCGGTGCTGGTGCAGGACCGGCCCCGTCCATACCCATGACAGGGGGACCACGATTGCTCTGGCCACGAAGATGAGGAGGGATGTACGCACGAGCCTGGATGGGATTGCCGGGAGCATGCTTGGATTCGTTCAGAGTGAGACCGTTCATGTTCAGGGAATCAGCCATTTTCGATCGAGTGATTTTGGGATGTACTGAGAATGAAAGAGTCAGCTGAGAGTCAAAGGACGTTTGTTATAAGTAGTTAAATGATCTCTGAGAAAATTCCACAAGGAATTCGGACGCCTGCAAGGGCAGGAGGACGTGTGAAGGGATTTGGACTTTGACGACGGTTGGCGAGTAGAGTGAAACTCACTGATAGAATAAGATCAGACAGGTAGTCGTCCACGTCTGGAATATGCTGACTGAGTGAAGAAAAGAGGTAGTCGTGATAGTCGCTGCTCGAAAGTGAAGTGAGGTTATCGAGGCGTCTAAGGATTCAATCGCTGATGATTGCTTGGTCTTTCGTGTCCGGCAGATAGAATGAGAGACACAAAACGCCTCTCCAAGTCTATCCGAAAGTGAAAACGAAAGACAGAAACAAGAAGGACTGTAGAATTGTCGGTTGTCGTTGTGTGTGGATGAGAGGAGGTTGATGAAATGAGGTTTTGAAGGATGAAAAAGTCTTGAAAGCGCAGCCTAAAAATTTTAGGGAGCGGCGAGCAGGTGATCATTACATGGGCCCGATCGGCCAGGCTAGAAGCTACTGGACAATGGGATAAAAACGCAGTTCGCCAAGAGCGAGACTATGCCGTATTTGTGCACCGCAATTGCCACCAAGGGGCGTAACGTCGTAGGTTTGATGGCACTTCACATGGGGTGCTCGTACCCATCGATAATCTACCTTCATAGAAGAGACATCAAGCGGGAAGCTTGCAGAAAAGGAGACAACGGAAACCAAACAGCAAACTGTTATGCTTTACAGCGTTTACTTACGCCATGCTTTTATCATCCGACTTGTGGGCTGGGGATCTGCGCCTCTTGACTATGACCAAAACAACCAGCATGATGAAAAGAAAGAGCGCTGCTTTCTGCATGTATGCTTGTGTCACTAGCTCTTCCACAGGACTAAACAATTCCTCACTCGCAGGCAATTCTTTGGGCAGTGCTTCAGTTTCATCCTCCACTGGTGGTGGGTTTGTCCCAAGTTCATCCTCTCCATCACCGTCATTCATATACTCAGGATGCACGTTCGAGTAGATAGGTTGTTCTGTCAGATGAGTCTTAGCCCTTCTTCAGATACTAATAGTAATCCGAGAGCAGTACCTGCCCTCAAATCTTAAAGTTCGTTATGAATACCTTCAGGCGGCACAGGCAACTCTCCGCTCTTAACGATCTTGACTGGCTTGGCTGGACGGTCACCCGAGCCCTTGGGTACATTTTCAATTTGCTCGACAACATCGTAGCCCTCGAGCACTTCCCCAAATACGACATGACGCCCATCAAGCCAACTAAACACTGTTAGCCAATGGCATCTGATCTGGAACATGTAGCCGCTCTGGGGCAAATATACCTTGTGACAACGGTAGTAATGAAGAACTGTGACCCGTTTGTGTTCTTGCCCGCATTGGCCATGCTCAACAGGCCCTTCTTGGTGTGCTTCAACTTGAAGTTCTCATCTTCAAACTTATCACCATAAATTGACTTGCCGCCAGTACCGTCTCCTCTTGTGAAATCACCGCCCTGAATCATGAATTGTTTGATAACACGGTGGAAGGCTGATCCTTCATAACCGAAACCCTTTTCGCCAGTGGCTAGTGCTCGGAAGTTCTCTGCGGTCTAGGGATGAAGAGTGAATGGTTAGCTGGCAGCCCTCAGAAGATATAGGTGCTTTAAAGGTAGGATTACCTTGGGAACGGTCTTGCCGTAGAGACCCATAACAATCCGACCCAGCGGTTGGCCATCGTGCTCAATGTCGAAGTAGACCTTGTGCGTGATCTTTGGACCCTTGGCTGCCTGTGCTGTCTGTCCCATGAACAGGAAGGTAGCGGTCAAAATGACCATCAGCGAAATGACAATCCGCTGGATATTAGCCATATCGAGCCACATCGAACTATGAGACTTGAGTGAGAGGGAATTGGGACTTAAGAGAAAGAAGGGGCAATAGGTTGAAAGTGCGGTAGCTGACCGATGACAAGAATGGATGTTTCAGACAACCCTTTCCAATGGGGTATGACACACAGAATACCCCAAGTTAAAAGCGGCGGCAAGGCTGAACTGTCGCGCAACTTTTTCGACCACAAAATCCCATCTGATTGTGAGAGAATCAGGAAAATCAAGCCACCATCCTAGACAACGCCGGAATCAAAGGCGGGAGTGGAGGAGCAGAGATGGTATATCTCTCTAAGTTCTTTTCCCAAGAAACAATACTGACTAGATGTCTACCAGGTCTTCATCTTGGGGGTCAATTTCCCAGAACACCGTTTTGTATGGGTATGTCTCGTCACTGTTCGAAGCTTTACTCCCGCAACACAGTCCGCTTAATTACTGTTTCAGAGATCACTCGAGACATTCTTCGGCATCGGCCCTGCCACCCGCGCCCGCATCATGTCGCGCTTCCACCTACATAACACCATCAAAGTCGGCGAGCTCTCGCAGAACCAAGTCCTCGACTTAACTGCTCACCTTGACTCCATGAAGATCGAAAATCACTTGAGACGGCAAGTGCAGCAAGATATTACAAGACTGAGGGACACTGGGACATACAGGGGACGCAGACACGCGATGAATCTGCCAGTAAGGGGGCAGAATACAAGGAGTCAGATCAAAACGGCAAGGAAGCTTAACAAGGCGGAGCGGTATTAGAGGGGGCCCTTGTTGTTTTGTACCAAAACCACCCATGCGCATGGGACACATAAATGGGAGGAAGTGCTCGCGAAGCATATCATACAGACAGCCTCCGCAGTCCACGCGACCATGAGGACGGTCTGGAAGCTATGTATTTTAAAGCTTCAAGTACTGGGCTGGTTCGAAGCTTGGGACTACGGATGATTGAAGACCTAGTTCAATTGCGCTCGCTTCAGCAACAGATGAGCGGGACCCAGGTGAGCATACTGCCTGAAACCTTGACAGACGGTAAACGTCCCAGGGGAAGTTTGAATTAAGATATTGATGCTCTGTACCGGTCTTCAAAGAAAGATAGGGTTTCTAGAGGACGTTGTCCCGACCACAAATATATTGTTGACTCTCATAAATTCGTAGTAACAGTCATGCTGTTACTATGTACCAGCAAGGTCGGCGGTAGTCCGCCAGCCAACACTTCCAAATCACTGATATACCCAAGACTATCCGTCTCACTGCGATATGTTCCTTCGACTGGTGCCGGCAATGTGGTGAAGATGACGGCCGTGTCATCGCTATTCTGTGATATTAGTTCATTCAAGATCAAATGTTGAGCTCGACTTGGTAAGTCGTTAAAGGACAATGGAATTGAGGCCGCTGTTGGAAAGCCTGATGCGGACGGTTGGGGAGCATTGCTGTCCTCCCTTGTCCGCTGGTAAATCGATCGTCCCCCAGGGATGACATCTTCTGCCTTTTGCCGCCGCGGATGCGGATGGTCGGCGAACATGATTGAGGGACCGGCACCCTCATCACTAGCCACTTTAGTTAAAGGGACAGGCTCGGATGTAAAATTTGGCGAGGCTGCTCGAGACCTTTGTGGCGAGGTCGTCACTTCTAGACTCCCTGAGAGCGACGGTATGCCAGTACCCGATGCGGTGGGACTACGGCCTCGACCAACATCCTCTTCACCTGAAGGGGAAACGTCCTCACCAAACTGCAGTTCTGGCTCGGCTGTCATTGAGCGGTCCATCGTCGAGTTTTTGTCCCTTTGCCTTTTGCGTGCCGATTTTTTTGAGCTCGCCCGACTGCTCTTCTTGGAGGAGGAAGATTTAGTTTTGAGGGCGGACCTCAGACTCCCTGGTGACTCGTGCATCTGATCTCCGCCTTCTTCTGATAAACTGGCATCCGATTCTTCATCATCGGACGTCTCATCTCGCTCAACATCCTCTTCGTCATCGTCCTCGGATTCAGAACGTTCAGAGTCACTTGGGTGAGATGCGTGTCGGCTGAGCATGTCGTCGTCGATGCGCGAGGTTCTCATAGAAAGACTCACTCCAAGACTCGATAAATTGCCAAACGACGATCTCTTTCTTGGATGCGTCAATATCCTGCGCAGACCATCAATCCGAACGAAAGCGCCATCTCTTCTGCTCGGCAGAGACGAGCTTGGCCATACAAAGTCGTCGGCCATCGAAAGGGCATCGACGGCACTAACATCGCCAGATCTAGACTTGCCCCGGAGTTTGAGAAGTTCTTGCCACCATGCCTCATCCTCCAGGACCTTGTTGACTTGCTCCTGCGTCTCTTCATCGACATCTTGGCCATTGACAATGCAATTATAAGTCTTGATCGTGCCACAGGCCAGCCAGAACACGAGAACTTGAGCCCTGATGCGTAAATTCGCTAAAAGCGACATGACTCGAGCTCGTTCCTCTTCCACATCAGCCTCGTATTCAACGAAGACCGCGACTCGCAGATTGTAAGATCGTTTCCACGATGGCACAGTGTTGAGAATACATCCAAGTTGCAGGATAAGAGTATATGTGTCAAAGTTTGTGGTTGTGACATTCTGCGGCTGACCATCCGTCTCAGACGTCAGTTCTGCTGACATCTGGATGGGCCACAGATCTATGTATTTCTTTGTGACACTTTCTTTCGCCTTGGGGAGTTCCAAATCGCCGAAACCTATTGCGATTGCAACATTGGTCCGCAGCTTCAGGATCATATCTTCCAACACCATGACGTAGCTCTGAATATCTGTTCTTTTTTCCACAAAACACACATCGGTAGGCAATTCGCCACGGACCTGGCTCCTGCTCGTACGACGGCGTCTGATCGACCCGGCTTTCCGTTCAGGGGGCGGACTTGGCACGTCGACCAGAGGTTGCTCTGATCTGAACTGTTGTAGATTGTAGAAGCCGAGGACAACAATATTCGGGCGCATGCCTCCTAATCCAGCGGAGAGAAAGACATTCCGCACTCCCCATTCAATAGAAGGCGAGATTGCCACGTTTACAAAAGCTTTGATCTTGGACATGTCGATAAACTTGTTCCAAGCTGCTTGCTGACGGCGTGCTTCCGGCACAGAGGCGCCAAAGTTTTGAGTAACAATCACATGGCCAATGATGAACAAGGCCCCCTTCTTTAGCGAGTTGCAGAAGTGGATGAGTTTGTAACTCCTTCTTGGATCATTGACCAGTAGAAGGATTTGCGGGCGCCAGAATTTGACATGCTCAGTCTTGAGTCTCAGGAGATACTTCCGAACCTGGTGGTAGATAAGGACTTCTGAAATCGAGCCCCAGGGTTTTGGCGGAGTTGTGTAGTGGATCATGATGATGAGGATGAGGAGAAGGCAAACCGAACCAGAGGCTGAAATCCCATCAACAAAGAACATGCTTCCGACGCTGAGAAGTGCCCCGGAGGCTGCTGTCCACCAGTTGAAGTATGAAAACGAAGGTCGAAAGTTCGGAGCGGATCCAATCTTTAGAAGGAACGTGGCAACGTTCAGCGCGAAAAAGGTCCTGCAAGATACCATCAGTGCCACTTTCATACCACTTTGGGGCAACACTCACATGAGGTAAGTCATGGTTATCAGAGAAGCAATTTGGTTGATGTCGAGAAGAAGCACCAGCTGAGTGACGGCGAACGTGCAAAGGATGGCATAGATGGGCTCGTCCTTCTTCATCGTCCCCTGCCCGAATATGGAGAGGCCGGGAACAACTCGGTCTCTGGCAATGGCTTGAAGTTGCTTTGCTGGTCCGATAATACCCATCAATACGGAAAAGAATGTCGTTGCCAATTCTCCAGCAAGAATCAATACCCCCGATATGCTCGCGTCCTGCACGACGTTGACATTTCGATAGAAGGATTCCCGGGTGATGCTTGCAGCCATGGCTACAATCACCAAAGTATATGCGACGAAGGTCAAGGCCAATCCACCCAGTGTACCGCGCGGAATGGACACACTCGGATTCTTCAAATCGCCTGACATGCTTGCGCCCGCGAGAATGCCTCCGGTTGCGGGGAACAAGATACCAAAAATATCTTGATAGTTCTCTTTGCCCTTTAGCTCGCTGCCTGCTGCCCCCTTGGTGAAGTGAGGTAGCAGGTTCTCCCTCAGAGTTTCTAGTCGGAGGCCAGTAAACTGCAGGAACTGCTTCTTGGTTTGGAAAGGTGATCGAATGATGGCTGAGAAAGGAACACTAAACGTTGCCAGGAGTAGAATGAAAAGCAGGCCATTGCTCGCGCGCGCAAAAATGGCACTTCCGGCCATACAGATAGCGACACACAGTACCACAACTAAAGTGCTCCAAAGGTACTTCCACCACTGGCCTTCAGGAAGATCGTTGGCCCAATTTCCAGACTCAGCGCCAAAATTGTAGGTTAGACAGTCGACTAGAGCAACTGCATTCATTCCTGTGTTGAAAACAAAGCCCAGATATGAAACCAAGCCGATTGCTCCACCAAATTCGGGACCCAGAGACCTGGAGATCAAATAATAAGCTCCTCCTCCTCTGACCGTGCCGTTAGAGGCTACTGCCGAAAGGGACATCGTCGTAACCAGGTTGATGGCATACGCCGCGACCAACATGGCAAGCATGCCTATGACACCGCTCTGGCCAAGTATAAAACCGAAGCGGATGAACATGAGGATGCTTAGGACGTTCAAACTCGTAGGGACGAAGACACCTGAGAGGGTGCCCAGTTTTTCTGAACCGCCGGCCGGGCGCGGAGGCACGCTATCATGGTGTAAAAATGACTTCTCGACCTTGCTTGGTATGGCACGGATATACGCTCCCAATGAATGTCCTGACGAGTTCTGAACCGCCGGTATTGGGTCTGGCAGTTGGGTGTCATCTGGTGAGTCTGGGGGGCCGTCGAAAGTCCCATAAACTTTGGAGGAAGCAACTGTGTCTACCGTAGCAAGCGGTGGAACAGACACAGAAGACTGGGCTGTCGCTGGTCGTGATAGAGTATGTACTGAGGCATCGTGGGCTGATGCAGGACGGTGTTCTTCTGGAGTGGCCGGGAATGATGACCTCCGCAGCAATTGAGCAGCCTCATCAGTAGCTGTGCGCGTTAGGAAAGTTGGACCGCGTCGGGCTACAGAGCCTCGCCCTAGACCGAAGTCTGACCAGCCTTTTTGTCCTCCTGTGCTGGCCATGATTGTCTAGGGTCGTTTGTGGATGTCGATCCATAATCAATGCATCCTTTTGCTTGGTTGAGGGGGATAGTGGACTAGAGCAGTAACGTTGGTAATAAAGTGAAGGGTTCTGGATGTTTGTCGAAAGGCTTCCGGCTTTTACTGGTCTGTCGACCACAGGGGTGAGGGAGTCCTTGATGGATGATATCGGCCGTCCTCGTCACTTGCACTGAAACGAAGCTGGCTCGTCAAATCCCTCCGGATGAAAAGAGGCACGGTGAAGATGGATGCAGTTTTCAGCTTCTGATAGAAGATGAGAGTGTATTACAGAGTTCTTACGCAGGAGAACAAGGGGAGATGAAGCTGGATGTTTGTACAGGGTACAGGGACCCCTATGGACGGATGTTGAGGGGTGTTCAAAAGGGGAATTTTGCACCTCTAGCCTTGCTGGGTGGGAGACGTGGGGGTTGGCCTTGAGCATCAGAAGTGGGGAGCTGCGCCTACGAGTGCTTGTGGACTTGGGCGACGTAGTTAAAACGCGATTATTGGACCAGCACCTATTGTCGGCATGATGCGCCTTGACCGCAGAAGCAAACCACGCCGAGGCGACCCCCGTGCAGGGCGCAGCCGCCAGGGGATTTTCGCCGCTTGCATCATGCTGACCAGTTACATCGTAGGCGAAAAAGGGACTTTCCATTATTTCTTTGCCACGAGCGCATCACAAGCACTTGTTCCCTGATCATTCGTACCGATCACATGCTATATCTTTGATATCCGGATTATTGGGCAAGCCGTTCGATACTACATATGTCGTGGTGTTCACGGCTCCTAAATCTACCTTCAACTCAACAAGGTCTCAATATCGTCGACAATGTCTAGAACCAGTCCCGTGGATATACGCTCAAGCAGTCCCGCGGGACGTAGTTCGCATTCGCGAAATGCATCGATAGCACGATTGTCCTCCCCTGTGCCCTCCCATCGCCTTAACACGCCTCCTATACCCCAGGTTCCGACTCCGCAACAGATCGCCGCTGACAGCAACGACTCTGCCCTGCCCAAACTTGATCAATCTGGGTCGTTGCCAGGCCCAGGTCGGTCAGCCCTCTCCACAGCTCTCGCCGATACAGGGAATCGATCTCCTCCCGGAAGCCGTACACCACCTGTTCCTGCAAACGATCCTTCCCCGAGACAGCCACTATTGAACACCTCCGCAGGACTGGGGAGCCACGACAGATTACCGAGGAGCAACTATGGCTCTTTCAATCCTCGTGAAGTGGCCGGGAGTCCAGGCCCAACGGAGGACCCTGAAGTGGTGAAAAGACACTTGGTGCAGCCAGACCAAGGCTTATCGAGGGGTAGACCTCTCCGATTAGATTTGAACGAGCCAACGACTGGTTCGGATTCCGGCGAGTTTTCCAGTCTCCGGTTACAAGGTGGGGATATGACCCGTGCTGTGTATCGATGGGCAGAAGAGCAGGAGGGAAACCAGCCTGGCAAGGCGCAGAGGAGCAAAAGCTTCACTATGCCGAGACCAGAGCCTGAAAGTGACACCTTGGACATACAAAACATTCGGGTGCCTGGCGGATTCCGCAGAAACTTTCTGCGCAGAGCCGCCGAGAGTCCCACTCCTTCCGGTCGAGGCTGGAAAGGGTCCCCTGCAGCACATGGTCAGGACCCGTCTACAAGTGATGTTCGGCCCAGGCTGTTTACGAATAATTTTCTGGAGTTTTTAACGCTATACGGACACTTTGCGGGTGAAGACTTGGAGGAAGATGACGAGGTCCTTGAGCCAGATGAATATTTCTCGTCAGATGCCTACGACGAGGGCAGCGATCGAGAGCCTATGGAGGATAGTGCCCTGCTTACGCCTGGCGGACTACGGCGGAGGCGACATAGGGAGCGTCCGCCGACAGGAACGGGCAGCAGTTTCAACGCATCTCTATTGCTCTTGAAATCTTTTGTTGGCACGGGAGTTCTCTTCCTACCGAGGGCTTTCCTCAACGGTGGCATGCTATTTTCCTCCCTTGTCTTGCTTGGTGTTGCTGCCCTGAGCTACCATTGTTTTATCTTGCTCATCAGTACAAGGAACAAGGTCGAGGCTTCATTCGGCGATATTGGCGGCATTCTCTATGGAAAGTGGATGAGAGCCATGATACTGTTCTCCATTGTTCTTAGCCAAATCGGTTTTGTGTCGGCTTACACCGTCTTCACTTCGGAGAATCTACAGGCATTTGTTCTTGCGGTCTCCAAGTGCAGGACTTTCATCGACATCAAGTTCATGGTTTTGATGCAACTGGTCATATTTTTGCCGCTCAGCTTGATCAGAGATATTGGAAAACTAGGATTCACGGCTCTCATCGCTGACGCCTTCATCCTCGTGGGCCTCATCTACCTGTACTACTATGACATTGCCACCATTGTCGATAACAGAGGACCTTCGGATATCACTATGTTCAACCCGTCAACCTGGACACTTTTCATCGGTACCGCTATCTTCACCTTTGAAGGTGTCGGGCTGATTATCCCGATTCAGGAATCAATGAAACGACCACAAGATTTCCCTGGCGTCCTGGCTACTGTCATGGTCATCATCACCATCCTTTTCACCTCCATCGGCGCCCTTTCGTACGCTGCGTATGGCTCGAAAACCAAAACAGTTGTCATCCTCAACCTGCCTCAAGACAGTAAAATGGTCAACGCTGTACAATTCCTGTACTCCCTGGCTATCCTCCTGAGCACACCGCTACAGTTGTTCCCTGCCATCCGTATCATGGAAAACGAACTATTCACTCGCTCGGGCAAATACAATCCTTATATCAAGTGGCAGAAAAATATCTTTCGCTTTTTCCTGGTCGCCGTATGTGCGCTCATTGCATGGGGTGGGGCTGGCGACTTGGACAAGTTTGTGGCCTTGGTTGGGAGCTTCGCATGCATACCCCTGGTATATTGCTACCCTCCTTTGTTACATCTCAAGGCTGTGGCAACGACCAAGTTGCAGAAATGGCTTGATTATTTGATGTTTGTATTTGGATTGGCGAGTTGTGTGTATACGACTATTTTAACAATCCAGCAATGGGCAGGGAGCAGCGGTGGTAAGTCTCCCGGGTATTGCGACTCGTGACGCACCGATGGAAGCGGACGACTCCATGTCCAAAGGCATTAGGTGGCGAGGACAAGTGTACGATGTAAGGAGAATGCTGCCACAGCCCTGAAGAGCGATAGACATTCAATGTCGACCGCTTTTGGGTTCAATGAGGAGGCTTGGAACTCGATCTCCGGATATCTGGGAATCCCGGTTCCCCATCCATCAAGATTTGAGCGAGGTCATGTTTCACAGCCATGAGAATCCCATGCTCGACTCGACACTATCTCCTTGGTGAGAACAGGGCTTAGTAAGGCTTAGGAGCCATGAAACTAGCGTGACCAGAGTTAGGATAGAAACATCCTAGGTTCTTATCTGTATATAGTTAATTTGATGGGCCATTGAATGGGATGCATGCCGTGGACCCCAAACTCGAAGCAGATAACTTATATCTTTTCTTCCTCGCTATCTAAATCCGATTGCCTCAGTGTCAACCACCAGATCACTACCCACTTGGCATAGCCAAAGGTAGACGCTGTATTTCTGTATTATTTTACACGATGCATGAGTCTTGGCAGCCGCACAGATCTTGACCCAACAGCCCTCGTTTTCGAACCCAGAGTCGTCCCTGGGACCTGACCAGTATGTATCTGTTGGGTCCATCTTGACTGTCGACAGCTAGGGTCCCGTACTCTGGTGGCAGAGACAGGTGCGAAGCCAGCATTTCCCACACAGCCGACGAAAAGAAATGCGGATGCCCTATGGCGCAGTGGGTGGGCAAACTGACGGCATAATAACCAAAAGAAGAAAAATGAATAAAGACTGCGTGGTAAAACAAAACAGCAGTAAGTAGAAAAGACTAGATCCTCCCCTCCCCCACCCCCCAAACACGAGACGTCCCAGATCCAGGTGGTGGTGTCCCTGCTGCCTAGCTCGGGCCCAAAAAATTTCCATTTCTGATATCCAAAGATTGAACAAGACGTGGATCAGGTGTCCAGCCCAGGGAGCAGCTGATAAGTGTAAAGCTGCCCGGCAGTCTCAAGGTACATACATAGATAGGGTGGGTATCTTGCACGGCGCAAAATACCACGTTGACGCAACACGAACCAAATCCTTTTCGTGAGGGCAGATTCCGCTAACGCTGATGCAGGTACGATAAGTCAAAATCGAGTTGGGGGACTCAGGCTCCTCGTCCAGCCGGGCTTTCAGGGCGAAGGGATATTCGGATCCGGTTGGACTTGCGTGGGACTTTCCGCGTCGTTAGGGATAGCTGTCGAGAATTGCGCTTGTGGTTAGGACAATCCCACGGGATGAACCGCCGAAATGAGTCCCGGTTTGATAAGGATGGAGGGGGTTGGTCAGGCTCAACTTCAGAATGGACAGTGGATAGGTGCATCATAATGCTCAACGCTGTGACTTTTCATGGCACTGTTTTGTGTCTCTCAATGAACAGACAAGAGCATTGGGAAGACGACTTCAGTCGATGCCTTTGCATCAGGTCCTAGCGCTGGAGGACCATACGTGAAATCAGCACCGAAAACCGCATCGTCAAACGTCCGCCGTGATTCGTTGACTTCCATCAAATCCAGGGCGGCTTTCATTCTTTGAGGCATAAACGGTTGGAGGAGAATAGCCATGATTCGGATAGAGTCCGCGCTGGTAAAAAGGATGTAGTTCGCTATATGCCTTGTTTCGGGATCTGTACTCTTGATCAACTTCCAGACTTCAGAATTGTGGAAGAGCTTGTTTGTCTGCGAAATTGGTCAGCTCTGCGACTTCAACCGTAACATGTGAAATTATGCCTTACCTCCCCGATCAGCTCACAGATTGACTGTACAGCTTTCCGTGGATCCGGTTCATTCATGTGGTTGTCTGCGATTTCTCTCACAGAGCATAGTCTGGCATGGTGACCTCGTAGGTTGGCATGAATGGCCTTCATCTCCAGGTCACTGGCGCTCCATTGGTCTCGAGTGATGAACTTTGAGAAATTTTCGTCCTCTTTGACCAATTTCACAGCCCCACGGACATCGAAGTGCTTGCTCTTGTAGACGCGATGAATGAGATTGCCGAGTCCACCTCTGAGTAAGTGATTGTACGTCTCTTCAATGAATGAGTTGTCGTACGTGGCATCGTCAACAATACCCCCGTTGTGTGCCATGAAGAAACGGATACAGTCCACTCCAAATCGGTCCATGGCGTAGAACGGATTGACCCCGTTGCCGGCCGACTTGGACATTTTTTCGTTGTTCATTGTCCAATGAGCATGGGTCAGGAATCTATCCGCCACAGGAAGATTCAAAGCCATGAGGAAAGCAGGCCAGTAAATGGTGTGAAAACGGATGATGTCTTTGCCGATGACTTGACAATTCGGGGGCCACATCATGTTGGCGTCATTTCTGTTGACGAACGGATATCCCGTCATGGTCAAGTAATTGAATAACGCATCGAGCCAAACGTAGATGGTCTGGCTCTCGTCGCCCGGAACCTGAATTCCCCAAGTCAACCGCGATGAAGGTCTGGAAACAGACAGATCTTTGAGTCCACTTCGAATCTCGTCCATGATGAAGGCCATGCGCTGCTTTGGGACAATAGCGCCCGCATGGTTCTCGTAGTACTTTAGCAACGGAGCCTGAAATTCGGACAGCCTGAAATGGTAATTCATCTCCGAAGTCCATTCGACATCTTTCCCGGTCTCGATGGAGACAATCTTCGTTATACCTGTTGACGGATCGAGGACTTTGTGGACTTGAGTTGAGGGATAAAAAGTCTCGTCGCTGACCGAGTACCAGCCCTCGTGCTTGGCTTCGTAGATAAATCCCGCGCGATTCAGCTCTTCCCAGACATATCTGACAACCTCCTTATGGTCCTCGTCCGTGGTTCGGATGAAACGGTCGTAGTCGATGTTGGCTGCGTCACATAATGCCTTGAACTGCTCGGCGTGATGATCGCAGAACAGCTTGACATCGGTGTTTGCCTTTTGAGCAGCCTTTTGCACCTTCATTCCATGTTCATCGGTTCCGGTCAGGAGGGTCGCCCTCGTATCACCGCGAAGCTTTGCCCAGCGTTTGAGAACATCGGCGAGGACCAACGTGTAGAGGTGGCCGACATGGGGTGCTGCAACGTGTAAAGTCAGTCAGCTGCCATCTGAAGCGAAAGACGATCAAACACATGCCTGAATTGACGTAGAATATGGGCGTTGTCACATAGTAAGGTTTCCCTGCCAGAGCATGAGCATGAGCATTTATAGAGCTTTCTGGTTCAATCGCTGCTGCGAGGGTGCGCCGTTGAGAATTTCCACGAGGCAGAACCGGTCGCCATGGTTGACATCGCGCAGAAGCTCGACATTGGAGGAAGAAACTATGAGCGTTGCGCTCGAGAGCGAGCATGCTGGGGTGGGGAGAGTTCAAGAGTTAGATGTGCGCACGAGAGTCGGGTCAACATGTGCAGGCCCACGTATTCATTCGCTCCAATAATTAGTTTTCGAAAGCTACAGCATGGATGAGCAACATTTGCAGTTTTCTCCGCATCACTATTTGGAGTCCGCGATCGACGGCAAGGCGGCGAGGCTGAGCCTCGCAGCCTCTCCAGGTGGCGGAGTGGCGACATTGGCCAGGTAGCCTCTCAGCCTCAATTCCATGCATTCATTCCAATACAAGTACAGATAATCGCGGAGAAATGGAGAACAACATTCGGACTAGAGCATATGTTCATTCACATTCGAAATCATTCCCAATCATCCCACCTGCGGCCCCCGGTCCTTTAATCTTGAAACATAATCCATGCAATACCTTTCCATCTGTCCATGAAATGTCAGTTTCATTTGCGGTCTTCGACATGTTGCCCGTCAGCCCCGTCGCTCGGCGTTCAAAGAAGTCGTCTGCGTTCTCATATTCGCCTTGACTCGTTCCAAAAGCTCTGGCCTGGTCATTTTGGTGTCAGGCGCTAAATTCCTCTTGAACATGAGTGTCAGTCTCGGCGCGATTGACTTTTTGCAGGCTGATCAAGCGGCAAAGCATTCAGAGCGCAACCGCTGACTTACCAGCTTCAGCCACCGCCTCAACTCTGTTTCGGTCCAGTATTCCGGATCTGCGTATGTCGATTAGCTCAATAGCTTGGTGCTATGATATTCAAGCCAGCCACCAAAGACGCTGTTAGGAAGCAGGACAGGACCATACCACCCGTAGGATCACCCTCGGCAGGGAATATATCTCCACCCCACATATTCCATAGTGATGCCAGAGTCACTAATCCCGCAAAGCCTAGGAAGAGATAGTAAAAGTCAGGCGCCATTCCTCGCTTTGGGTCGAATGAGGTGTTGTGTGGGTTGGGGATTTGTAAAGGACACAGGGAGCTGGCGACAGCAATTTTGGCGGTTCCGTTGGCCTTATAAGGACTCATCCAGGGTTACAAGGCAAATCAAGATCCCTGAGATCAGAATCCAGACAGTAGAAGTGGGGAATGCAAACCGAAGAATAGATTCTGGTGACCATATCAGTTGGGGCACTGCAAGTCACCAGGACTCGAGTGCAACATCAAGACAGTGACAAATTCAAGCGTCAAGCCATTGAGTCAGAGGATTGAGTAGGTGATGAGGTAGCACATACACGAGATTGCATTGCTTTGTCCAAGGGAGTAGGCATCTTCGACTTCTTTCTCGAGATCTTACTGGAGGTGGCGAGCCCAGTAGTATAGTCTGTCAAGCGTGGGAGGCGTGTCAAACATACAGACAGACTTCAGGAGTCAACAAAAGGGAGGTCTTATGCCGTGTTTGAGGATGTGTATGGATACAGCAGAGAGTGGTGAATGATTCTAGTTTCTTGGATGGTGCCTGGAGAAGCAGAGAAGTTAATATGTAGTAATAGATGAAGTGTCTTGATTGGCCACATACAAACAACAAACAACACTGTTTCCAAGTCCCACTCGTACTCAATTCCATTTCATACACCTTGAGACTACAGCTACAGCGCAGGTCCGTCGTGCGAAGACGGCCATACATCAATTGACTTGTACTTGTGCGGTCCATGTCTCGAATTCCAGACTCTTAAAATTCGGTCATTAATGGGTATCACATTGTCTCTAACCATCTCGTCATGTATCTCGTGACATATAACGCATCTTATAAAATATATACAAGATCACCGAAGGAACGACTTGACCTCTACCCAGAGGAGACCTGACACACACTCTCTTCAGTTTCAAAACCTCCTCTATCAACCCGAGGTAGAAACAACGCCTTCGCTTCGAACGCAGAATTCAACAATCAGTTTCTGTAAGTCAGCCAACTTGTACGGCTTCGTCATGAACCCTTCCATCCCAGTCTTTGTCGCCCGGTCAATGGCCTCGTCAGTGACATCGGCACTGACAGCTAAGACGATGGGAGGAGTCATGCCGCCACAGTCGGATCCTTCCTCGCCTTGAGAATGTTGGAACATCTCTAATATATGCTCGGTTGCTTGGTAACCATCCATTTCGGGCATCCAGAGGTCCATCAAGACAACATCGACCTTTTTGTTGGATCGTTTCCCGTACGATTTTCCGCAACTTCGTCCCTTATTGTGTATTTCCCGCATAATCCTCACTGCCTCCTTCCCATCAAAGGCTTCGTGCACATCCTTGTAGCCTAGCTTGCCGAGCATATTCACCAGCAATTTACGGTTAATCTTATTATCTTCCGCAACCAAGAATGTCAGAGGATGCTTCTGTGCCAGGTGCCGGTCGTACGTGTCCTTCTTGAGGGGACTAATCCGGGCTGGAGTCCGTGGTCCACGGGAGCTATATTCTTCAGTCGACGGCATTGTTATTCTTGAGGGTCGAGAATGCTTGTGGGCGTTGGGCGACGAATCTGGAGGTGCTAGTGTAGTAGCTGGTTGGGAGACACTTTTTGAGCCTTCTGGGGTCCTACTACCAGGGGTGCCAGAACGACTTGTCGCGCTCTCGTTAGGCTCGAAAGGAACCTTAATCTCGAACTCAGAACCTTTGTTTGGGCCCGACACCTCTGAAGCCACGAGGACGATGTCGCCGCCAAGACGACGAGCCAGTCCTTTGGCAACTAAAAGACCAAGGCCGAGGCCTTCCTTGGACCTGGTCAACGAGTCGTCTTCTCGCGAGAATGGTTTAAATAACTCGGGTTGAAAGTCTTCTGGAATCCCATCGCCGGTATCCTTGCACTTGATAATCAAGAATCGGTGCGTCTTTGAAAGTCGGGCATGCAAAGTAATGCTGCCCTGCTCTGTGAACTTGATGGCGTTCAGCAGCACAGCCGATACCAATTTGGTCAGGTCGCGTTCGTCTGCAAATATAGTCTCGGGCACATCTGCAGCCACTGACCATTCGATGATTTTCTGGGAAATATGGCCATTTGATGAGCGCGACCTCACCACGATTCGTTCGCCCAAATCAGTGGGTTCTCCTATAGCCGAATCGGGCCTGCCTCCGACACGTAAAGAGTCGTAGATCACCAAGGGTATCAGAGTTCGAATCCGACAGTGTTTCAACCCTGGTGTTGGTAACGGGTCACTCTCTGTCGACGATAGCTTGGTTGAAGGTGTAGGCAGATCCCCAGGTGTGTTGCAATCCTGTACGGGAGTGATGATCGTGGGGACGCGTTCATCTGAAGAGAGCGTCTGTGGGGTTGGGAACTTGCCTGTGTTACTCTTAGGAGAGACGTCAACACGATGTGATGATCCAAGTTGTCGCATCTTAGTGGCGTTACCGAATTGCCAGGATGTCGGACTACTTCGGCGGCGCTTGTAGGGATTGAAATGGATATCACTCCCTTCAATCAGCCTAGGAGGTTTGTAATCAAAGTAACCTGTGGATGTGGCTGCTGGGGATTCGTTTTCATTCGAGGGAGTATCGGGAATTTGCATATTCATGTCGTAGGCATGGACGACATTATCAGCAGCTTCAACGGCTCGTTTCGCACTGTCTTGGATGGTCTCGATATTCTCTCGTAGACCCCGAAACACCTGGCGCAGAGAGATATCCGAGACACCCTCAATCTGTTCCTGTACCGTTGCATGCATAACGTCCAGCATTCCCACTACCCCTTGCATTGGCGTCCTTAATTCATGAGACAGACTTTTCGCATATGGCTTTAGGGACTGGGTCCCAGGAGTGACGGCTTCACGCGGGATGACATGGGTCAGCCTGGCTGTGTTGGTACTTCGATTCCGAGGCTTTACAAACCCCTGGCCGCTCAAAAGACGCTCGACGATCATGTCCTCCAATGAATGCAGCAGGAGTTCCGTGTAACTCCAGGTAGTCTCGCGCCGGTCAAGACCTTCTTGTGTCCACATCATACCGAAATGGGCAAAGCACTTCCCTTCTGCAAACAAGGGGATTCCAATGTAGCCTTCTGCAGGGAAAGGAAGGGCATTAGGATTATGAGTAATGAACGAACTCATGTGCTCCGGAATTAGAAAGACTTTGTCGTGCTTCATGTAGGCACAGGGCGAACCCCAAGCAAGATACTTATAGTCACGATGCATGGCTTTCTGCTTGTCGCCGTCGTTGTAATAGAAAGCAACACCCAGAAGACATGAGCCTGATTCGCCAAACGGGGGCATTTCTACCGCCGAATGGTGGTCGTCTGACAGTATCCGCTTTGCAACAAATCCGTATTGCGCATGGCAAATCTCCGTCATGCCCTCCATCAGCTTTTGCCAGAATGATTCGGTGTCCGCCATTTTGAGTTCTCGCTTTAGCTGCACCAATTTCTCGAGGGCATTGTTCTCAGGAGAGGGGAAATGCCTTGCGAGGTTCTGAAGAAATCCATCTTCTCCGTATTGGGCTGGCACACCGGGCTCAACGCTAGGGAGGCATAATGATTGCCGTTCAATGAGCGGCAGAGACGGCTTAGGATCAGGTGGTTCAGCCATCACTGCCATTTGGTGTTATCGTCCACTTTGAAACACCTGGCTCTGATGTCTTGGGGGTATATTTGTTCTCATAGACATTCGTAGAGTCTGCCGGTCGCGAGCCTTCTGTTGCGAATGCAGTTCGATGGTGCCAAAGGCTTCATTCGTCGTAGGTCGAACAATGATGTAGCCAGGTCCAAGATAAGGATCGTGGAGCAGGCAACGACTTGTCGCAACGCAGGTCCGATACTGGGCTGCAGGCGTGTTACTGGCTATCTTTCTGGTAAACGGCGCGCAAAGGGTAGAGGGCCGTAGGGTAGAGGGACTTGTTGTCTAAGAGGGAGAGGAGAGATTGAGAGAAGTCGAAGGAATTTGGTGAAAATAGGTAGAATAGTCGAGGAGTGCTGGCACTGGTGCTGGTAAGTCAAGGATCGGAGACGGGCCAGGGAAAGGGCAGCTGGAGGGGGAGGGCGTAGGCTGTCCCAAGACGAAATACGAGTCTCCGTCTCCAGGTAGGTGCGCAATCAAAGTGAGACCGTGCAGCGGGATTCTTGATTAGGGTAGAGTTGCATTATGTTCTGGAGAAGCGGACAGGGAGTGTGGAATACGGTGGACGAAGGCCGTCAGTGCTTGGAGCCTTGGTCAGAGTTTCTGAAGAATTTCTTTGGCCAAACTACTACGTGCCACCGGTGCCACAAACTTCTTCGTCACAGGAAAATCGTACCAAATCTTTTTTGACTTTGTCTGCTTTCAACTTTATTTACCTACAAGTAGGTTTTTGTACCTCGTACCTAATACTCGTACACAGGGCACTCAAGTGGCCGAGGCAGACTGGACGACCGCCCCATCTGCGCCAGGAGCTCAGCTTTCAGCTCACATGCAGTTCGGACAAATCCTGCTGGGGTGCTACGTGCCATTGAGACACACTCCCTGATTCTCAAGGGGAGGGAGCCACATGGGCAAGACACCTTAGAGGACACTTGGCCCAGAGATGTTCCCATGCCAGAAAGGACCCGTTTGGCGCGGGTATGCGAAAATGTGGAAGTTGTTTTAATAATACAAACCACAGACTAAGTTACTGCAGACCGCATGTGGCATGACGCCAGTGGCATTGATCCCTCCGGAAAGAACCTTTCACGGGCGTCAGCAAAAGCCCTGGGGGTCCCTAAGTGAGCGTTTTGTCAGAGTGTGAGCACAAGAGAAAAAAGAATGGAGATGGAGACATGTCGTTGGACAAACCTAGTTGTAGCCACGGTCTAGGCCTTGGAAAGACTCTCCTCCGGCTACCCACTGCCCTGCAGATGCGCCATCAGTCCTATTTGATTGGACCTTAACGCAGTCGTGCTAGTCACAGAGGACGAGTACAAACAAGGGACCGAGCGCCCCGAACTGCCCTTGCCGAACACAGACGCGTCAGAATTCTTTCCCAGAGAGAATTAAAAACAATCACTCTCAGTGCACAGGACTCCGGCAGATCTGGTCTCCACACTGTTTCCGCCTTGATTGAGCAGACAGAATGAGATCGCTGACTTACAGAGA